CCCCTCAACCCCCACCACCTTGATCTCTAAATCCCTCGTTGTGGATGTGGGGCCTGCACTCCAATCCCAGGTGCTTACCTCTGTTGGTGCACGGTTCCTGAGTGTTTCAGATCCGTCGGGGCGAGATTGGGGGGGGGGGGGCTTGGATAGCGTTGGCCCTCCTCACTGTGAAAGAGTTGAACTGGAATTACTCAAAAGCAAAGGCTCAGAAATCCACACAATTAGTGAGTGTGCACGGTGGCCTTGCAGGAAAGCACCCCCAAAGAGGCCACGGGTGTGTGTGTGTGTGTGTGGGGGGGGGGGGGGACACATCTGCATGCAGCAGAGTCAAGATTTGCACGGCATGAATATTAATCTGCGGGAGAATCTAAATTCAAGGCCCGCCGCCCTCAGCCTCATGAAACAAGACATCAAATGTGTCCCTGCAGTCGCCGAGGGGGTCGACCGGCAGACATCATCCAGCCCCCCCCCCCCCCCTCCCCGTCCTTTCTGTCTGCGCGTGAAGCGACCACCAGTGAGCCAGCGTCACCGCCGCGAACCTGCCCCCAGCCACACGATGCGACTTTGGACGGGTCCTTCACGGTCTGAGTCAACGATGAGCTGAAACTTTCATTAGACCCGACCTTGAGTCACGACCTTGACCTGGATTCAGTCCCGAGTAAACTTCTGTTCATTTACAGGTCTTGAGAGAAAATCTGAATGGGAACTGGACCAAGTTCATGCTCAGTCATCCAGGTACAAAATCCAATAGTGGTCATCTGCACAGTTTATTTTTTGTGGAAAGAAGTGTCGCCCTCTATCCAGAGGGCTTCATCAGCCTGAGGAGTCCCAAGTAAACCGTTTCCCCACCAAGCAGTACTCTCCACTAGTGGACCAAGCAGTTTGCTGGTGCTAAGATGGTTTCTGGGGACTGTCCTGTCCCCCGTCCCTGTTTTCTTTCCACAACAAAGAAACTGTCCAGATGACCACGATTGGAATTTGTACCTGGATGATTGCGCATGAACTTTGATGTCTTCAACCACTTTGGCTGTGGCTGCCTGGGAGGAGTAGACGGGGGAGAGGACAGCCCCCAGAAACCATCTTATCTCCTGCAAACTGGTTGGTCCACTAAAGACGTGTATTACTTGGGACTCCTCAGACTGAAGAAGCCCTCTGGATAGAGGGCGAAACGTCTTTCCACAAGAAACAAACTGTCCAGATGACCTGACTGACCAGTATATGTGCTTATATAGATACATAGATTTATTTGTCCCCGTAGGGAAGTTGGTTTGCAACATTACACGAAGGACAAACATGAGATTAACATCCATCAAAGATGTTTGAGCTCAGTAATCCATGATACATTTGAATTATTTAATGATTTAATCACTTGTGGTATGAAAGAAAATGTCCTGTTTCTTGAGAATAAAGGAAGACGGTACTTCGCCATGAAGGAAGCAACTCAAACGAGGATCTTAGGGGAAGTGTGTTGCTATAATCTGGTTTTTCTTCCTCAGAACTGTCCATGTATAGTTTTTCCATACTGGTCAGACTGGTCCCTAACAGTTTGCTGGCTCTGGTTACAAAACTTCTCAAGGATTTCTTCTGAGCCTCTGTAGCTTTGCCAAACCAACAGATGTTACCAAACGTTAAAATACCCTCAATAAAAGCAGAATAAAACATTAAAAGCGTGGAGTTATTGACTAACAGACCCCAGTTTCTTTAAAACCACATCCTCTGCTGAGTCTTGGTGCTGATAATAAGGTCAGCCCACGAGTCCCACTTCAAGTGACAGTCCAGAACCACGTCCAGGTTCTTGTAGCACGAGACGGTTTCAATCTGCTCTCCGTCGATGGCGGTTGGAGAGAATGTCAGAAGCTTCCTGAACTCAATCATTTATTTTGTTTTTGTCGTGTTCAGAACCAGAACTGGTCCATGCTCCTCTTCCTGGTTGTTTAAGAGGCTTACCAGAGCCGTGTCATCAGCATATTTAAATTAAATGTCTATTTGGGAAAGTACTTCTGCAGGAGTTTGTGTGGAGAATAAATAACAGGGAGGATAACACACAGCCTTGAGGAGCGCCAGTGCTGGTGGTTGTTTTGTCAGAGACCTGCTGGACCCTGCCTGTTAAAAAGTCTGTAATCCATAAAACCAAGCTATGTGAGATTAAATCTCTTTTGTTAAGATCTCGTTAAAATCCTGACGAGGAATCCACAAATAAAATGTTTAGATTTTGGTCTTTGAAGGCGGGAACAGAGCAGGTGCAGCAGAGCAGGTGCAGCAGAGCAGGTGCAGCAG